TATCCTTCCAACTGTTCTACAATATCATCACACCCAACGACGTCCTTGAATAGCATGCGAATGTTGGTTCCGGCGCGCTCACTCCTATCAAACTCGGGATCGATATCCTCAGGCTCCAGTAAGTCCACATTTCTGTTTCCAGAAAATTCCGACAAACGTCTCTGTTGTCGCCCCTTAGCCTGATCGAGAACGTTGTCGACCTCGCCTGCGTTACCAAAGTTGGGCTTATTACGGGCCCGTTTCAGCACTTCGAGGACGACCTTCTTTGCAGCTTCGCCAGCTTTGAATCCCTATTGTTTGAGTTTCAAATCGAGGATTTGTCGAAGTTCGCTATCGTCGTAGTCTTCGAAGGTAAAACCAGTCGAAATAGGAAATCGCCTTGTCAAGCCTGGGTTGACTTTCTGAAACATGTCTTCCATTTGCCCTTTATAACCCAGCAGTAACACGCATCTGTCTTCGAGTGCAGTGCTCTGGACTTCCGCGACAATTGTGTCGATAACAGCTGCTTTATATGGGTCACTCGTGCCTCCAGAATTCGAAACTCCGCTTGCAAGCATGTAAGCTTCATCGATGATGAGGACCTTGCCCTTGGTAGAGTCAAGGATAGCCTTTGTGTTTTTCTCAGACTGGCCCAGCACATTGCCGACGAAATCAGCAGGGCTCTTGACAATTACTTCGCCATTGGATACAAGCCCCAAATCCCTCAGAATCTTGCCGTAGAGTTTCGCTACTGTCGTTTTACCGGTCCCAGGGTTTCCGATGAATACCTTGTTCAAAGAACGTTCAACTAAAGGTTGTTCCTTCGTCTCGCGATCGTAGTTCGTCTGGAGGCGATTCATGAGGGCCATGGCAGATTGTTTGACAGATCCCAACCCGATCATACTTTTAAGTTTCAGCCAGTCTTTATTTTTAGAAGAGTTCTGGCTTGGTTCTGGACCAATAAGGTCGATCTTCTGGAGAAGCAAGTCATTCGGCGTATTACCTCCTCGTCGTTCCTTGCGAAGGCGGTTGGCTTGTCTTCCAAGTAGAGTCGATAAAACATTCTCTACCTCACGAGCATTACCGAACCCGTCTTTTCCTCGGCCGCGACCGATACGGCGTGACAGAATTCGCATATAGAGCCCTCTAGGCCCATCCTCAACCTTCATGCGGTCGTTAAACTTCTTTTCTAGTTGGTAGTTGAGAATCTTCAGAAGTTCCTCGTCTTCATAGTCTTTGAACTCTAGTTGGATGGGAATTCGACTAGGAATACCTGGGTTATGTGCGAAGAATGCCTCCATCTGCTTTCGATAGCCGGCGCACACGAAGACAACTTTCCCTGTGAGGTTCTTTATCTCAGCTAATGGGAAGTCAAGTACTTGTTTCCCTCCATGAGAATTGCCCGACACAATTCATAACTTGATTGCAAATCTCCTTCGGGTGATCAACTCGGATATGACACCTCTTTGGGCATGTGTGCTTGCCACAAGATAGTGTCTCATTGCATGGCAACGAGCACCCTCCATCTGGGCAATGAAGATCGAAATCCTCGACTGAACGAATAATATGCATCGTCTCCGGGTGTTTTTCGCATTTGAGTGGAAATCCGTCATGAATTTTCCCACCTGCCTTCAAGTGATCGAAAAGACGGACCCACTCTTCACCCCCTTTCTTAGCCTTCATGAAGGTATTCGCGTTGCCGATCATGATCAATGCATTTCTAGCTCGCGAAATTAGCACATTCAGCCGTTCTGGTGCAGCCATAAATCCAATATCACCGTCCTTATTACTACGCGTTAATGAAGCCACGACGATATCACTTTCTTCCCCCTGGTAATTGTCAATAGTAGAGAGACGAATAGGCTTCATATTGACCTGCGCACTTTCCGGTGGTAGAATTCCAGCTTGGACTAGATCGTGGGAGTCTAAATCATTCAAGATCGGATCATGGTCTTCGCTAAGCTTATTTCTCAATAATGAGAGTTGGCCCTATTGAACATTAGTGACTTGGGAATTGACATATACCAGGTACTCATTTTGAGGCAAGACTTACGAGATAGGGGTTAAGTATCACTACGTCCGTAGTTTTATAGTTCTGATGGCCTAAGTAACGGTTACACTTCAAACCCATTTCCGCCTCGAAAGCATTCTCCTTGCTTGATGATGTGCTTTGATCAAGCTTGTCGACAAAATCATTTTTGGCTTCGGGATAATTGTGGTTGAAGAAAACACATCCGGGCTCGGTAACCCTTGTTTTGAGGCTCATGACCTACCCCTTGCTGCTTAGGGGTACGTCTGGCGACTGCTTGGTATGACATTGTGAAGAGTATGGCAATGAATAATCCTGATGACGATGATGCTTAGTGAGGACAGGCAATAGGTGGGTAGCCATTCCATATGTGTGAGCGCGAAGGAATATGATATCAAACAGGTAGCTAAGAGATTTTCACTCGCCGAAGTACCTAAGTAGCTGATATGTCTTGTTTTCGGGATCCTGCATTTATTCCCTTGCAACCTAATCAATCTGTACGACCACGCTCCCGAAATCGTGTACTACTTCGCCGACAAATGCAGATGCAGGTTACGTTATGTCATGTAGGTACACGAGTGCAAACGGAATTCTCTTATGTTACTCGATACTAACACAACCTTCTTCAAGCACAACGGCCACAGTATCCGCAGTTGGTGTCACAGACCGTGTAGTCTAAGGAAAAATCATCCTCAGAGCCCTCTGATCCGCTGGATCCATCCTTCTGTGATGACCAGCTTGGATAACTTTCATCGTCATCATCACTCTCCTTACACCCCCCGGTCCACATGTCCATCCAGTCATTGGGAAGCACTTCCCGAGGTGTTCCACTTTGTTCCCTCGGCAAACATGCGGAGCTGGGACTCGTGTGCAGACTCCCATTCACGCAAGTCTTGTTGGGTAGGTTTCTCTTGGATATCTTCGAAGTTCCCTTTGACGTGATATCCGACGATAAAATTGGGAATTTGCCGAAGCCACAACCTCGGCAAGTGCTCGCCCATGTCAATATGTCCTTTCAACTGGGACCTCGTTTTGATTTCGACAATGGAGTGTTGGGGTACGGCCACTCCAGCTGCCTTGACGGTGATTGAGTTGGATGTCGAGATTTCCGAGACGTGCAAGCTTCCTAACTCATTTGTCGTAGTAGAAATATCCCCAGCATTTTCTAGGTGTCCGTCACACTCAAAACGGACCAGACATTTCAGACCACCGAAGGAATAGGAAATTATCCGCTGATGGGATTTGGTGTCTTCCATCTCGGCTTGGTAAGCAGTGAAATTCTCGAGGAATGAAATACCATGCCCATGAATATCAGGTATTACTTCGTTCCGTTGATTGTTGATTATGAACAATGTGTTGCCAACCATTTCAACATCGTATCGAAATGTTGAGCTGACTGAACGTACAAAACGGAGAATATTTCCCAAGGAGCTAGCGCAGCCCATGATATCGACACTTGTCAAATTGAATCCCTCGTTTAGGGCAAAAATGGACTGTACGGAAGGGTGCATAGGATGCTCAGGGAACTGTGCTCCATTCTGATCTCGAAGGCAATTACCAGGGTCTTTTGGAAGCTGGAAAGGTAATTGAGGTGCCTCCCAAACTGCTGGCTGACCTAGTCATTATTTAGCAGTGAAGTGGCTGTTTAGGGTGGACAACGACTAACCTGGAATAATGATTTGAGGCGAACTAGAGTCGGTCAGGGAGTAAGATGCAATATATCTGCAATCTGTGATTCTCGCATCCTCTATTTATGCTCAGCCATGCTTCGTTTTCGCCAATTACTTGACCATAAATCATGACCGCGTCCTAGTCCTTGAGAACACTTCGAAGCTCTTCCACGATACATCGCATTCAAGTTGAGGTAGTGTAGTTTGAGAATAACAATAGAAAAGGAATGGCCTTGCGCATAGCTATAAGGGGTGTGCTAGGTACTCCTATTTATAGAGAGTGTTTGTTTCCGTTTAAATAAAAACATACGCTTAATTAGTATTGTATAATTAAAAGACAAGGAACTTATGCATGTTTTGAAGTTTTTATTAAACTGACGGCTTTGGCAGTTTTAAGCACATCGCCAGCTGTCCTTCGACGAGATCAGCCAGTGATGCTCGAGTTTTTCATTGAGGCGTCACAATGTAAGAAGAAGCATCAAGTATATTTACATGTGACATTTTAATATTGACCTTTGGGGATTGTTACTCGTTTTCCATTAAGTAGAACCAATATTACCTACGCTTGAAAGTTGACTTACATAGGTAGGAGTGGTAGTAACTTAGAATGTGGAACCAGAAACCATTTTTGCCATTTTGGGAACTAATAGTTAGTTCTCATTGGTCTCAACACACCGGCCTAGTCACCCCGGTCCAGGTCGGGAGTCGCCAACATAACAAGTTGTTTATAGGTATCTACCTAGGTAGCGTAAGTACAAATGAATCTTTCTATTATGAACTTAGCTTATACTTACTTAACTTAAGAGCGGGATATTTACGTGACTAACAAACAAATGGGAATTTGAGAAGGCTATTTATTTTCCAAAATGAAAGTATCATTCCTTTCATAACTAAAGTCCTTGACTGCCATTCTATATGACAAGACATCCAAAATGTTTATTTAATAGTTTAAACTTCCTACCAAGCTCGGTGTTATAATAACATACTACTAACTAGTTAGAAATCAAAAGAATTATCGCAACACAATGAACCGTCCGGTTTTGTTTTTACCTAATAAGGGGCTCGATGATTTATCTCCAACAATAGCTGATATATCTAGGTCAGTCGCTATTTACGTAACTTTTGGGTCTTACCTAGTTGTGCATCCTCACTCCCAAAGCTCTTTCCTAACAAAATGACTACGTCACCCTTTTGACGCCATTGTTTCTAACAGGTTACCAATTATAGACAGGCGCGGTTGCTCTATACAGCTAATAAGATACCTACATAATGCCTAAATCCAAGCAGTCATATACATTGGAGGGAAGGAAGACACATCGCAGGGCTCAGTAGCGTAGTGGTGATCGCGCACTTTTCGGGCGATTCTGTCCATCTCTAACATGAGAGACTAAGTGAGGTCCTGGGTTCAAATCCCGGCTGAGCCCTTTCTTTTTCCCTTTTTCCCTTTTCCGTGATTGGTGGGATTGGTAAAGCAACCTAACCTATAGATTAGGCCTTCTTCGTGGCAAAAATCATGAGAACTGGTGTTCTGGTTCTGACTTTCTTGCCCTCTAAAGCAAACTCCAGCTCATCCCAAACTTCCTGAATTTCGGTCTCTGGGATAAACGGCACCCAAGTAGCAAGATATGCCTTGAACCACTCGATGTCTTTCATGTCACACCATTCTTCATCATCCTCTATCCAGACTTTCTCTTCCCCTTCTTTGACCTTCCTCTCAGCCATTAGATCGTTCATCACAAAGGCATTGACGCTGCCCTGAGCGTTGATGTACACCCTCTTGACCATCTCCCACTCCTCCTCAGGAAATTCCAAGTTTTCAAAGGCTGCGTTAACTGTCAGAAAAGCACGGTCGAACACATCGCCTCGGGCCTTCTTAGAATGTGCAGCCCAAACTCCCTTCCAAGCATTTTGCACCCGCTCGTTCCCATCAATAAGCGGGCGAGCATAATAAGTGATCGCGAGTGTCCCGCCAGCTCTAAGTTCCCTGCCAAATTCACTAATCGCAGCAGCAGGGTTGGTCCACTGCATACATTCGCACGCGGCGATCAGGTCAACCGCACCAGGCTCAATAGAGGTTTTCTCGGCAGATTCCTGAAGGAAAGTGAATTGAGATTCCGGTAGCGATGCTTCTTCAACGAGGAGCTTCCGAGCGAGTGTGACATAGCCGTCGTTGGGATCCGAGACAATAACGCTATCGAAACGAGTAGCAAGCGTAAAAGAGACTATCCCACAACCGGCGCCAACATCATGGCTTACGGACCAAGTTGCCGCTGGCTTTTGGGAGTGGTAGTTAAAGATGCGCTCGAAGAAAGAAGCTGGGTATATAGGACGGTAGGCGAGGTAGTTCGACCAGTTGACGCCGTGCTTTGGGGAGAACCCTAGTTCCTTGACTGATACATTCGCCATGGCAAAGTGATGCGTAAAAGGTACCTAAATAAACAACTGTCACGAAGTGAGCTTCAGGTTTTCTTGCTTCTAGATATTAGTTTTGCTAGATCTTTAAACTGAAGTAAAGACATTCATTCAATGGCAAACATTCGTTGAGCTGAACCCCTTTTCAAGATTCTTCAAATGACGCGGGAGGCGGGAGGGAGGCGGGGAACTACCACGAATAACTGTCATTTATCATATCTTCGGCATATGTCTATCCTCTGTTTTCTTGCGGAATTGACAAGTAGGAATTAAATGTCACCCTACTGTTGTAATATCTCAACATCGAAGGCATAGCAATGCATACCTACCTGTAAGTACCTATAACAAAACTTTTAAGCCGACAACGGTTCTTTCCTTGCACTATCAACCTCTATACATACTAGGTAGTAAAGAGATCGACAGTAATGTTAGTGTGTAGGTAGATAGGTGGAAATACTTGGATCTGCAACTATGCAAGACACTATGTATTCAAAAAGAGCGACTATTTGTACTTAGGTGCTTTCTTTCTATGTTCTGAAGTAAATTTAAACTTCTGTGACTTGCGATTGTAATTGTAAAAGGACGACGCGGGATGTCAGGGATAATTGGCGGGGTCCGCGGGGACCTCAGGTCGGGCAATTGCCTTTGATAAAAAGAAAAACTGGGATATTAATAGCGCGTTCTACAAAAAAGTAGACGAAAATCTATAGGGCTCAACCGGGATTTGAACCCGGGACCACTCACATTGCCTCATTGGATGAGACGGACCAATGTAAGCCCGAAGCGAGTATCCTACCACTAGACCATTGAGCCTTTTCGATTTAAGGAAAATACAAACGAGTATCCTTGGGGAAGGTGCGTTCGCACATACCCCGCTTGTCGTGTCTGCCACAAAAGAATGGCTATGTAGCTTTCTTCATTTTCTCCATCGACCCTTCCTGTATTGGATTAGCCCCGCTTTGACTTCGGGCAATGGCACGCACCGGGTTACCTAATCCTTGGAGGGAGTGATTAAAGTTCGATCCAAGGTTGAAGTCATACGTGCCGACCTAGGTAAACTCTATTTCTCCTAGGTCAAGTACCTTAGGTAGGTAGGTGTGAACTTGCATTTCCCCAACGCGACTTTCATTAGAGTCGCAAACTTGGAATCCACCTAATTTCATATTTCATATTTCATCCAGCTTCATCTCTTGCTGTCTTCCAGTGCTGTATTTGTGCTCTGTTTCGTATCTTACACGTCTTTTTATGATCATCGTCCTCTGACTTGCTCTTGTTGTACACGGGATTATAAGTCGAGGAATATCAACTTCCCAATTCATAGCTGATACTAGCAGGCCCCCCGGTCATATTTTTACTTGAGACGACACGCGACGCTTTAATAAATTCAACAACGATGCTTTGCCCGTTTGACTTCACTTGACTCGACGTAAGATATGTTTCTTTCAGGTTTTCTAGGGGCCCCGTCGGGTCGGAGGGGTTCCGTCATATCGAGCAAGTCCAAATCATCTAGACATTCTCCTGAAGTCTCGCCGTCGCGGCCTCAAAATCCCGATTCTTCCTCTTCTCCTGAATACCTCTCCGATGAGTCGCAGCTCCAGTCTTCCGCACCGACGCCTCAAGATGTGCTCGACTTGAATAACAACCTCGAAATGCTCGCCGCCTTGTTTCCCGATGTTCAAGTAGAGGTCTTCAGGGAAATGCTTACATCATTTTCGGAGGAGTCGCGGCTATTTATCATCACGGATAAGTTGCTGAAGAATCCCGGGTTATACGTGAAGGGACGACGGAGAGCTAGCGACGATACTAGTTCTGACCCGAACGCTCTAGTATCGCGAACCGATGCCTTCAGGACGGTAGAATACAAGAAGGCAGTACGGACCCTGGCGATGCAGGAATTCAAGGGCTTATCTAGGTCCTCTATCGACGCAGTTTTATCCGAGTCCAACTACTCCTATCTCGACGCGCGACCGACCCTTGTAGACCTGTCTTCGAAGTCCTGGAAGTTCACCATATCTTCCTTGTTCTTTCGTCGCAAGCCAGTTACCTCTACCGAGGCCGAAACGCATCCCCTTATTATATGGAGAGCTTCCGATGATGGATCGATGGTCCCAACTTTGAAGGCAACCGGCAGCGCCGAATTGGATAAAGAGCTATTTGAAGAGTTGATCATGCCATTAAAACAACACGAGCAACTTTCGAGGCAGGCGAGCGATCGAGCTTTAGCCATTTCCTTACTCACAGAAGAAGCCGAAGCCTTGGAAGCAACATACGAATGTACCTGCTGCTACTCTGATGTCATTTTTGAGGAGCTCACCACATGCAACGCCGAGGGACACCCAGTTTGCTTTCGCTGCGTCCAACATTCCATCACCGAAGCTATCTTCGGACAAGGTTGGCAACGTAGCATCGACAAAGAAACGGGCGCTCTTCGATGCCCTGCCGTGGCATCAACGGAGTGCGATGGCTGCATATCCTCTGAGCATATTCATCGGGCTATGCGCGAGGAGAAGAACGGGGAAGAGATCGTACGCAAGCTTGACCAACGCTTAGCAGAGTACGGCCTCTTGTCCAGCGGCTTGCCTCTGATCCGGTGCCCGTTCTGCACCTATGCCGAAGTCGACGAGCTCTATATGCCAGCTAATTCGCGCAGGCCAAGGATTCGTGCGAGCAATCTTATAAACATTATCATCATTTTTATTTGCTTAGGCTTGTCGCCATTTTACTTCCCTCTCATAACACTAGTGATTAGTTACACCATGCTCTGCTTGAACGGGTCGTTTAGGGGTTACGTATCCTGGCACCTAAACGCGGCCCTTAACCGATACCAGCGCCGTCGCCGCGGGTTGAAATTCACTTGTCAGAATCCGGCCTGCGCTCGATCATCTTGTTTATCATGCTCGAAGGCATGGGTGGATATTCACATATGTCACGAATCATCCCTTGTTGCTCTGCGCACACAAGTTGAGCTAGCAATGTCGATGGCTATCAAACGTGTTTGCCCGCGGTGTAATATGTCGTTCGTCAAGACAGCCGGATGCAACAAACTAACCTGCCCCTGCGGATATAAAATGTGCTATGTCTGTCGTAAAGACATTGGCACAGCGACTGAAGGCTATGCTCATTTTTGCCAGCATTTTAGGCCCGAGGGTGACGGACGACGATGCATAGAATGTAATAAATGTAACTTGTGGGAGACCGAAAATACCGAAGAAATTCTCCGGAAAGCTAAAATAGAGGCCGAAAAGAGGTGGAGAGAATCTGAAAGACGCGAGCTCTCAGACGCCGAGAAGGCTTATCTCGAGGATGGAGTAGGCACCATCGGTCAAAGAGGCCAAATGACCAGAGGCCTAGGACAGTTGCTTCCAGGCAGCAAGATTCCGAGTGTTGAAGAGTTCTGCGATTTTGTCATAGAGACTTTGTTCGTATGATGGTGGAGCATGATATGTATGGGTTTAACTAGAGTTTTGGGTTCTGGGTTTTGTTTAAAAAAAGAGGTGCATATCTGGCTATCGGCTGAGCGTTTCTTGAAGTTAACTTTGGAAAAAAGAAGAAGAAAAAAAGCGAGCATTACATCGGAATTTGGGCATACAGGAGAACACGGCGTTACATCACAAGGAAAGCGACGGGTATGTTTTTGATATACCCGTCGACAGCATCATACATGCAACGGCTCATCGCAAGCTATAGCCTTACAACATTTGTCATAGTAATTTGGTGTATTACAGTTTTTAGACAAAATATTACTGACATTATCTTCATATCGATCCTTTATATCCAGAGTCGTATTTAAAGATGGGAGAGTGAAGCACTGATAAATCGCATCGCATTTTCAACAATTAATTAAGTAGCCCGACAATGCAGACGTAGGAGAAAGATTGATACAAGTCTCCTTTACAAGAAGATGGTGTTCGGCCGCGAAGATTCACCTCGTTTCGTTATTTTCTTCAGAGCAAGACTACCCCTTATTTCTCTGCTGTAAAAACCGAGCAATCGCTTTCTTCTCGAAGCTCCC